CACACAGAAGCTTTTACACACAGACCCATTTACACACAGACACTTTTACACACAGACCCTTTTACACACAAACATCTTTACACATCTTTACACAGAGACGCTTTTACACACAGACCCTTTTACACACAGACCCTTTGACACACAGACCCTTTTACACACAAACATCTTTACACAGAAATGCTTTTACACACAGACCCTTTTACACACAGACCCTTTTACACACAAACATCTTTACACAGAGACACTTTTACACACAGACGCTTTTGCACACAAACATCTTTACACAAAGACGCTTTTACACCCTCTTACACACCAACGCCTTTACCCGCAGACGCTTTTACACACAGACCCTTTTACACACAGAAACTTTTGCACACAGACCCTTTTACGCACAAACACTTTTACACACAGAAGCTTTTACACACACACATCTTTACACAGAGACGCTTTTACACACAGACGCTTTTACACACGGACCCTTTTACACACAGACCCTTTTACACACAGACCCTTTTACACACAAACATCTGTACACAGAAGTGCTTTTACACAGACCCTTTTACGCACAGACATCTTTACGCACAGACTTCTTTACACACAAACACTTTTACACACAGCCCCTTTTACACACAGACACTTTTACACACAAACGCCTTTACACACAAACACTTTTACACACAGACCCTTTTACACACAAACATCTCTACACGGAGACACTTTTACACACAGATCCTCTTACAGACAAACCGTTTTACATCCAGCACAAGTAAAATCGCAATTTTACCTCAGTTTTGGCACATCGACCCTCATTTCGTGCGAAAGAGTTGCTCCAGCACAATAGTAAAATCGCAATTTTACCTCAGTTTTTGCGCATCGACCCTCATTTCATGCGAAAGGATTGCTCCGGGACAAGTGAAATCGCAATTTTACCTTAGTTTTTGCGCGTCGACCCTCATTTCGTGCGAAAGGGTTGCTCCGGCACAAGTGAAATCGCAATTTTACCTTAGTTTTTGCGCACCGACCCTCATTTCGTGCGAAAGGGTTGACGTTTCGTGACTCCTCGTCCGCACCGCCCGCGGCTTCAAGAGAGAAAGAAAAAGAAGGAAAGAGACAGAAAAAGGAGAGGGAGAGAGAGAGAGGAGAGAGAGAAAGAGAGAGAGAAAGAGAAGGATGTGAGTGTGAAGATGTGAGTATGCTCAGATGTGAAGATGTGAGTGTGAGTATGTGAGTATGTGAGTATGTGAATGAGGATGTGAAGATGTGAAGATGTGAGTGTGAAGATGTGAGTATGTGAAGATGTGAAGATGTAAGTGTGAAGATGTGAGTATGTGAAGATATGAGTATGTGAAGATATGAAGATATGAAGATGTGAGTGTGAAGATGTGAGTATATATGTGAAGATATGAAGATGTCAGTAGACCGAGATGTAAGATGTGAAAATGTATGTGAAGATGTGAAGACATGAAGATGTGAAGATGTGAAGATGTATGACAGACGCAAATGACAGACCCAACTATTAGAAGAACCCTTCGCTCAGACGCTCTCGGGAAAATAACATAGAATATGCTCACCCTGCGCTCGGACAGTTCCAGATGCTGCAAGACGATAAAATAATACCTACAAAAAATATGTAATTGTGGAGGTCGTAGAGCACTACACAGAAAGGAAGAAATACATGATAAAGTCTCAAAGAATACGGAATTATGTTGGAATCGTGTTAGTATGTATCTTTGATTGCAAGATAGGGATAGAGAGAGAGAGAGAGAGCGTTAGAGAGAGAGAGCGTGGGAGAGACAGAGATAGAGATAGAGAAAGAGAGAGAGAGAGAAAGAGAAGACACGCAAACGCTGTTACACAAAAACACCTTTACCCGCAGACGCTTTTACACACAGACCCTTTTACACACAGAAACTTTTGCACACAGACCCTTTTACGCACAAACACTTTTACACACAGAAGCTTTTAGACATCTTTACACATCTTTACACACAGACCCATTTACACACAGACGCTTTTACACACGGACCCTTTTACACACAGACCCTTTTACACACAGACCCTTTTACACACAAACATCTGTACACAGAAGTGCTTTTACACAGACCCTTTTACACACAGAAGCTTTTACACACAGACTTCTTTACACACAAGCACTTTTACACACAGCCCCTTTTACACACAGACACTTTTACACACAAACGCCTTTACACACAGACCCTTTTACACACAAACATCTCTACATGGAGACACTTTTACACACAGATCCTCTTACAGACAAACCGTTTTACATCCAGCACAAGTAAAATCGCAATTTTTACCTCAGTTTTGGCACATCGACCCTCATTTCGTGCGAAAGAGTTGCTCCAGCACAATAGTAAAATCGCAATTTTACCTCAGTTTTTGCGCATCGACCCTCATTTCATGCGAAAGGGTTGCTCCGGGACAAGTGAAATCGCAATTTTACCTTAGTTTTTGCGCGTCGACCCTCATTTCGTGCGAAAGGGTTGCTCCGGGACAAGTGAAATCGCAATTTTACCTTAGTTTTTGCGCACCGACCCTCATTTCGTGCGAAAGGGTTGACGTTTCGTGGCTCCTCACCGCCTGCGGCCTAAAGAGAGAAAGAAAAAGAAGAAAAGAGAGAGAAAAGGGAGAGAGAGAGAGAGGAGAGAGAGAAAGAGAGAGAGAGAGAAAGAGAAGATGTCAGTATGCTCAGATGTGAAGATGTGAAGATGTGAGTGTGAAGATGTGAGTATGTGAAGATGTAAGTGTGAAACTGTGTAGATGTAAAGAGAGTATGTGAAGATGTGAGTGTGAAGATGTGTGTATGTGAAGATGTAAGATGTGAAGATGTGATTATGCCAAGATGTAAGATGTGAAGATGTATTTGAAGATGTGAAGACATGAAGATGTGAAGATGTGAAGATGTATGACAGACGCAAATGACAGACCCAACTGTTAGAAGAACCCTTCGCTCAGACGCTCTCGGGAACAGAAATGTAGATGTTCATTGTTTTGCATGTGAATTCATGGTTCTTCATGATTTTTCCTGTTCATTCATGGCTTTCATGTGAAAACATGTTCTTTTCATAGGTGTTTTTCTGTTGTTTATATTTAGTTTTTCCTGAATAAGAATATGTTGGGTTGCCAGCTCAGGTCACCTTAAAAAATGAGGGCTCTTCAGATCATTTTTTTGAAGAAGTATGGACCAGGTACAGTACTTGTTTGTTTTCTGGTGTATTTCATAACCCAAATATGGTGACACGCTGAGGATAGATTCCGAGGGATAGGACCAGGAGACACGGTCAGCGAAGATGAGGACCTCTATGTGCTCCGTCTCACCAAAACAGGAGCCTAGCTCAGCCGCTCTAAGGAGGGTGGCACTTTGTAATGGGCAACGCTTAGTTTAGCATGTACTTAGGTAGAGACGGCAAATCATGGGCACATGTCATGCATGTTGCAGTCCCTTTTGTGGATTACGGTCCACCGCCCAAGCAAAAAGACGGGCGTCGCTGCATTGCACCTAGTTGGAACTATGCTTCGAACCCAATACCGCTGACCGCTGCGACTTTGCTGTTTGTATGTTCAGATGCTGCAGAAATACTGCAGCACCATCCCCGCTGTCCCAGGCGCAAGCTTACGGTAGCTCCATTTCAAAAACATCAGCGGTGATGAGAAATGTTGAAGCGAGCAGAACTCTAAACGTGCGTTGAGATGTTTTGTACTTTTTTGGTGTGTGGAGATGTGCGCAACATGGATGTTTATGCATCTATCTATATTGGCTCAAACTTTTCGAAAGTTGTGACTGTGCACCCTGAGACCTCGAGCGGCTTGGCAGTTTTCAACAGCTATCGGCAATCATGTCGTCCATGGCCACCGTTCCGCAGACTGATGAGGAGGAGATGGAAACTTCACAGATTTGGGGGTCAACCAATGGAAACGAAGCAAAGGTTTCTCATTGGTTTTCTCGCGCGAGGGCCTCCTTCATTGTGCCTGCTGTTGGTCTCATGGTTGTGGGTGTCTTGGCATTGGGCGCGATTCGCGCGAATGTGGCCCCTCAGACTGCTCAGGACCAGGCTGGAATTGTCCAATTGGGCGATTTCAAGATCCCAACGCTTCCAGCGAATCCGATCGATGAGTTGAAGAAAGAAATCAAACAACCAATTACAAAATTCAAGGCAGACTTGGGCATCAATGACTTGAGGGGGGATCAGATTGCACTTTGCGTCGTCAATCTCAACTTGGGAATCTGGAAGGTGATTCAGGTGGGAGCACTCATCACCAAAACGGTGGACAATTGTGCATATCAAACCACCAATATCGACAAGAAAGTTGCATGCAATATCAATCTTGCTGCGATCATAGTTACTTTGTCAGAAATGATGGCCTTCTTCACCAGCACCTCCACCTTATGCACAGGCAAAACAAACCCAGATGCCCGCTGCACAGTATTTATGGCACTGACCTTCAGGCATTTGGCGCTCTTTGCTGCAGCTGAGAACCAAATTGCCCTCTTTTGCCCTAAGGCCTCATACGAAACAACGGTCGTGGAAGGTGGAGTGAGAACCTATGATGCTGCAGAACGCCGACTTCTTTCGAATTCATCCTTTGCTAACAGCTCTGCTGACAGAGAACTCTCCGCAGTGGTGGTTCCCGACCCCCCCGCCGCTCCGATTGCAAAATTGTTTTGCGCATGGAATGTTGCTGAGAGTTTCTGGTTCTTTGCTCGTATTCCCCCATTGGCCGACATCGCACGCAGACGTTGCCCGGCAGGGAGGACCGCAAGGAGCAAGGCTGCTTGTTCCGAGGTGATCAATAACATCCTCACCATGACATTCAACGGAGTCAAGTTGATCGCTGCAGCCACAACCAATTGTGTGGAAGGCACAAACGTGGCTGCTGGATGTGCTGCTGGCAGTCTGAATTTCATGTCAGGAATCACCGGGATAAGCTGGGTGGCCTCGGCCTTCGCAAACGGTGCATGCACAGATTTGGATGTAAAGAGGAAAGCTGCCACGGAGGTACGCATCAATAGAAAGATTCACAAGATTAACCTCATCAAGAGCAACACGCTGCGGCGCTTGCTACGAGAGAAGAAACTCGTAGGCCCCGCCATCGCACAAGCTCACCAGATGATTGCTCAAGAAGAGGAGGACACACGCAACAATGCCACCACAGAAGAACTTGTCCGCCATCTTATGCAACAGATGAATCCACAAGAAACCGAGACAGGTTTTGAAGATGATCCCTATGAACTTGTATTGTCACACCTCCAGAGCTTGAAGGCACCCAGTGAGGCAGAGTGGCAGCAGATGATGGCAAAGCTGGGCACCATTCAGGACACGGCCTCCAGCCCTGTCCTTGCATAGATTGAGCTTCATCCTTTGTGACTGAGAAGCATCAAATTCAGCTTCCGCATCCTTGCATGGAGTGCCGGGTGCGAGCTGGTGCCAAGAAGTCACTGTGAAGTATGTAGAGCGATTGCAAAAAAGAACTAAAACACGCGTTGAAGTATGTGACTGCTTGGTTTGCTAACTCCTTGACTTCGAACCGACCCAAAGAAGGTCCTCAGCCACAGCATCGCCTGTCAGGCATGCAGGCATTCCGAGCTGCAAGTAATCTGGCAGAGAAAAGTGATGCTTCTTCAGGTCCCAAGCGCTGCTTGGAGCTCAAAAAGAAAGCAACAGGAGCACAGTAGCATGGATAAGAAAACGTAAGAACGTTTATTCATAGAAATGTATGTATGGATCAAGCGCAGATCATCACAGCAAGCAATACAAGGCAAACATTCTGGACACTTGAAAGTGTGTATACATATATACCTGCATCTTCCAAGGTCGTCGGACTTAATGCGAGTTTGATTGGAGTTCAAGTCACGACTATACTGTTCGTGATCCTGCATGTGGCTTTGCATAGGTCGAACAAAGCTCACAGAGGAATGTTGAAGAGGCTTCTTTTGATACTCCAATCAGGATGGAGGAAGGACACCAGCGTTTCAGATGCATTTCTGCCACAATACAATTTGAATCAGCAGGTCACCTGGTTGCTGAATTCACCGACAATTTGTGGGACTTACTGCAAATTTGTTCTACTGAAAAATTTCCAATTTGTTTGTGTCCACAATCTGCACCTGAACCTGAATTTCTGAAGATCCTTGAGCCCAAACATGGAATTCGCTCCTCCACAGGCTGGTTTAGAAAACATAGAGGGACCGGATGGTGTGGGAGACCTCACTGTGACCCTGAAGCATGGTACAGCAGCGCGAAGCCAATGGCTCAGCTCCAGCTGTTTGTTGTCCTTGTCGTTGGCCTTGTCCTGTCGCAGGTCAAGGAGCAAACAGAGACTGAGATGTCGGCCACACGAGCAGAACAGAAACATCTTGACATTTGATTTGGCGGCTTGGCGTCAGCAATGGTACACTGTGGGCGTGTGAGCTTCTGTGTTTTCATAGACAAACATTATGTCGATGATATCATCACGGCCCCATGTGCTCCTGTTGTTACTGCCTCCCTTCAACCCCATAACCATCCAATACTGTAACCGTCACTGGTTGCATGCAGTAATTGTGCAATATTGCACATTCAGCACATTCTGCTAGCAACAACAGCTAAGACCCTTGGCACTTCGTCATTTACCCTTGCAGCATTGGATGTACAGTATCACAATGATATCATGTAATGTACAATCAGAGACAGAAGGATGGATGAAAAGATGTGTATTTGTAGGTATACTTAGCTGCCATTACACAGCTCACACCAAGTTTTCAGAACAGAGTCCTTTTCAGGGAAGCTGCCACACTAGGCACCAACGCGTACGCGTCACAAACCCCAAGAGCATGGCTGTCGTGATGTCGCTTGCTGGCTTGGTTCTGAGTTACCCTGAGACAATTCATGGTTTCCTCACCGCAATCTTGCCAATTGAGATCAATGAAAATACAGCGCAGCATTTGTGTGGTTGATTCACGGGTCCCGGTCAATAGCTGGTTTTTCCTCAAGTTGTAGCTTACCTAGCGCAAGCCTAATTTGGTAAATATACATATATATGATATATATATATATATTATCATAAATATATATATATACATACATATATATATATATGTATATGTATATATATATATGTATGTATATATATGTATAAACATGTATATATGTGTATATATATGTATATATATGTATATATATATGTATATATGTATATATATATATATATGTATATGTATATATATATGTATATATACGTATATGTATATATATACATATATGTATATATATATATAATATGATATATACATGTGTGTGTGTCTCATTCAAGAGGGACGGTCGCACTTTTTATCTTCCGGAGGTCATAATTCATTATTGACATTTGTTGTTTCCTCTTCGTAAGAAGCGGGCCCGCAGCTAACTCATGTAAATCACCAACTAGGCGCTAGATTCGCGCTAGCTCAGCGCTATACTTATCAATCTGTTGTGTGCAATTTCTGCAGCATTCAAATTCAAAACCGTATCTTTATCAGTCTCCAACCTTTGCGGCGTGTGACAGCGAACAAGACGACAGACATTACACATTGCATGATTGCCATTTTGGAAAAAAACAACCCTTTTTCGCGCTAGTACGGATCTAGTTTGGCACTAGCAAAACAGGCGCTGAGCAACTAGGAGTCCATGCCGAATGCAGATGAAGCTAGCAGTTTTGAAGGAATATTCCAAGATGTATCTTGCAATTGGCTTCCAAGAGACTTTCAAGCAAAAGAATTCAATATAGTTTCAGAGCTCGTTCCGGCGCTGAAGATTCGAGTTCCAGTACCAGAGAGACCTCTGAAGAAGACAACTAAAAAACACGCGCTAGTGCACCTGCCACAAGTTTTTAATTGATAACCCAAAATGCCAGACATGACATGCCGCGAAATCTAAACTTGTTAAAATGCAGTTGCGTAGAAGCGGGCCCCCATGTGATGACAAATTACGACCGCCTTCGGGAACCAACATTTTGCACGGGAGACACACACACATATATATATACATATATACTTGGGTCTTGAGTTATGTCGCATCTTCATGTTGAAGTCGCATCGTCATTGGCGCCCACCGTAAGAAATAGTTTTTTCCCAATAGTAGCAATAGTTAATTATTATGAAATTATTGATTTCTCTGCGCGCCCACAGTGTTTTGTTGGCTACACCCATCTAACAAAGTTGCGCCGAAATCTCAAATTTCTTGTTTTTAGGTTGGGGGAAGGTTTTTTTTGGAAGTCGTGGCGATGCGGCGTTTAGGTTGCGTTTAGGGTAGATGTTTGTTTTACCATTAGCATAGTGTTTTAATCTTGGTAGTTGCGCTCTCATTGTGTTTGGGATGGTTGCTGTTGGGTTCTGCAGCTACTGGGGTCTTGCTGCTGCTGGTGATGCTGGTGCTGCTGCTGCTGCTGCTGCTGCTGCTGGTTCTGACCGGTGCTGGTTCTGACGGCTGCTCCTGCTGCTCCTGCTGCTGTTGCTGGTACTGACGGCTGCATCTTTTCATCTCTGCACTGCCGTGGCGGTGTGTTGGGATTCTGCAAATTCTTTCACTACCAGTGACCCAAGGAAGGACAGGTTTGTGGGCCAAGTTCCATGTGTGTAGATGTTGGACCTGTTTTTGACCTCGTTTTGGACCTCGTTTTTTTTGCCTTCGTCAGAACCTATCTGGCAGCATACATATTTGGAAAACGGCCTGCTTCGCGTTAACAATACCCAGGACAGGGGTCGTGTTCAAGTTTTGCTGCTCCTCAACTACCGGCCTGTGAAAACCAGCGCCCCAATGGAGAGCGCGTGTGATCCGTGCTTGTACGCATGCTTCTGTCGTTGCTTCTGCCAATGGTTTTGTCTGCAAAACCGCGTTCAACTACCAACCTGTGAAAACCAGCGCCCCAGTGGAGAGCGTATGTAATTGATGCATCGTTTTCATTCAAAACATACCTTTTGACTGCGCGCGCCCCACGTTTTCTTGATTTTGATCCAAAGATGCGATTTTCAGAATTCATTGGCGCCCGCAATGAATTCTCACAAAAAATGACGCTCGTGATGTGACTTCAGCGTCGTGATGTGCTTTGGATTTTTCGTGGCGCCCACCACACATGATGTGCCTTTTGCGGCGTGATGTGACTTAAGTCGAGTTCTCGTACAATAATATATATATATATATACATATATATATACACACATATATATATATGGGTCCATGTCCATTGTGATGATTTTTTCTACCGGTTTCTCTATCACTCCATCAATCTACTTGCTATCCATGCATCCATCTCTTTCTCTCAATATCTCTACCAATCTGTGTGTGGTAGAAACAGGTACCGGTACGGTAGCAAATTTATTGCATGGTCAGTTGTGCAATCATACGAAGGCCAGTGGAAAACCCGGAAGAGAAGTGGAAAATCGACGCTCCATATGTGGTTGTTGTTGCTAATAAAAAATCAGCCAGGCCAAAATCATCCAAAATCAAAGGTATCAAAGGTGAGATGACCATCCTCATGGGAGGAAAGTGGATCTTCCTGTTTTCTGTCACAACTTGCGCCTGTCGATGCAGGTCTGCGGGCTACCTTTGGCTGATCATCGCAGTGGGACCTGTTGCGCTGACCATTGATCTGATCAAGGCAGATAAAACGTGGCCTTTTGAGCGTACAACACACGCGAGCCAGTGAAATGCTGCAGGAAATACCTGGAGGGTTGAAGTCCTTGCTGTAAGGTTTGTGTGCTGTTATGTAGGCATCAAAATAGTGTTCATGTGATTTGGTGTTTGATGACCGACTTCGACTTTAGTCTTGAGCGACTACCACTCTTTCAGGCTGGACAAGGAGCAGTTGGAAGCACAAGCTGCAGGTTGCTTCTTTATGTCGACTCTTCCTCGTGCTTTGGCCAGATTAGGAGAGGAACAATGTCTGTCTCTAGACAATAGAATCACCAATTTTGGTTTTTTATCAGAAGTTCTCCCTTGGATTTCTTGGACGGTCCTTTCCTTTGATGACTGCAATGCACACTATCGGTGCTAGTAGATGGCAAGACTTGTTCAATGATGTGCCGCCGTGATGGCATCATTCAATTGACTTTCCAACTGGCACATCTGGCACATCTGGCACATCTGGCACCCGGCGGTGAAGTATCATGAAGTCGTTTTTGGAGCGATGCCGGCGATTCCTTTAGCGATGCCGACTTCAGGCAGTCTTTCCGACTTTCTGGCTGCAAGTTGAACAGTGGCCCAGAGTACGCCCTCCATGCCTACATCAAGGCAGGTTGGCAGCTTAACAGCAGGGAGAGATTGTTTCGGTGATTAATAATGAGATATAATGAGTAAAGGTGAGATGAACACGCGCAACCAAATCGACCAAGGTGGTCACTCAATGAATGAACCTGGTTTGGTGGGACCCAAAAGACATCGGTGACATTAGTAGTATGTATGCATTTATTTTCAGCACAGAAGAATATTTTCGAGGGACAAACCCTGCAGGAGCTACCTTTGTCACCAACCAGTTCTGGTGCTCTTTGATGTTTTCCCCAAACGTGGTTGGCACGGCCAATGCCACAGCAGCTGGCTGGGGGAACTTGGGCGGCGGTGTTACACAGATGTTTATGATCTCAGCGCTGTTCAATCCAAATGTGAGTTCTGGCATGCCAGCAAACACTGCCTGGCGGATTGCCATGATCGTTCCTGCTGTCCTTTTCCTGATTTGCGCAGCCACCATGAAACTCTTGTGTTGGGACACACCCGCGGCCAAGCGCTCCGCACCCGCGGCCAAGCGCTCCGATGTGTCTGTGACTGGTTAGACCCAGAAACTATCTTTGTGGGACTATGTCGTGGTGCTGAAAGACACCCGGGTCATTGTGATGATTTTTCAATACAGTGCATGATTCGGCACCGAACTCGCTATGAACAACCAACTGGCCACCCATTTCAGGACCTATTTCCAAATGGATGCGGCAGATGCATCAGCCTTGGCAGGAGCTTTTGGCCTCATGAACCTGTTTGCTAGGTCCCTGGGAGGCATCTCCAGTGACATCCTCTTTGAAGCGGTCTTCCTCTTCTGCATGGTGGACAGCTCGCAGCCATGGTATGTTGCTTTGGCCGTGCTGATTTGTTTCTCCCTCTTTGTTCAGATGGCAGAAGGTACAAGCTACGGGATTGTGCCTTTCATGAACAAGCAGCAGCTGGCGGTGGTGTCTGCACTGGTTGGGGCTGGCGGAAATTTGGGAGCTGTTATCGCTGGGTTTTGCTTCTACAAACCCATCAACGATCCGCTGCTTCCTTTCCAGGTCCATGCAGGACATGTCATGTTTTGGGCTTTGCTGTCACGTTGCTACTACTGGCGGGAGCATGGGGGCATGTTCCATGGCCCAGCTGTGGATAAGATCGGATAAGACCTTTGTGGATATGACATCCGCGGATAAGACGTCTGAGCCAGCTGGGGAGAAGCCCCAAGCTGCAGAATCCACTGAAATGACCGTATAAAGTTTGGCCTGTTCTTTTTTTGTCATCTAGGTATTGGAGAAACAACTTTTCCGAAGATAGCCAAGGACAGTCATGCAGAAGGCATGCTTTGCTGGCCAGAATGATCCTTTGCATGGAGTGCAGGACGGTTGCAGAAAATACCGTATCGAGTTTGGCATGATTTGGGTAGCTCTGAGTTTCCCGGGGACAACCTTTCCAAGGACAGCAAAGGACAGTCATGCAGAAGGCATGCTTTGCTGCCCAGATTTTTTTTTGCATGGAGTGCGGGATCGTTTTGTTTCTGGCGGATGAGCACCAATGTCGCTGATAGGCTGATCTCAGCACGAAAAGGAACTTTAGCAGCTTGGGGCAAACCGCATGGAGAGTCTCTCTTGCATGGCTACATCTACAGCCGAGCGTCGCCTTTTCCATTGAATTTGTAGGCAATTTGTCGCTGTGTTGCTGAGAGGTCTACAGTATATGAAATAGATTGTACAGTCCAGTCGATGGCATATAGCACATTTATATATATATACACATTAGCCATATAGCCCGTCAAGCCGGACGGCGGAAGTTCCAAACATCTAAAACAATTCAATGCTTTAGGACGACGCAATAGCTATAATCAATGGAATTCAAGTTTTCTTTCTTTTCTTGTCTTTTCGTTTCTTTCCTCAGCTTCTTGTTTTTGTTTTTGTTGTTCTCTTCTCTTTTCTCTTCTCTTTTCTCTTCTCTTCTCTCTTCTCTTCTCTCTTCTCTTTCTTTTCTCTTCTCTTCTCTTCTCTTCTCGCTTCGCTTCTCTTCTCTTTTCTCTTCTCTTTTCTCTTCTCTTTTCTCTTCTCTTTTCTCTTCTCTTTTCTCTTCTCTTTTCTCTTCTCTTTTCTTTTCTCTTCTCTGTTCTCTTCTCTGTTCTCTTCTCTGTTCTCTTCTCTTCTCTTTTCTCTTCTCTTCACCTCTCCTCTCCTCTTCTCTTTTCTCCTGATTTTTTTTTTGCGTTTTTTAAGACTCTATTTTTTGAGCTAGCTTTTGGCTTCTGGCTTCTGGCTTCTGACTTCTGGCTCGTGTGGCTTTTGGCTTTGGGCTTCTTCGGTCCGAGGAGCAAAGAAAAGGAGAGAAATGCCATGCAAAATGAAATGTTTGAATTTCAAGATGCTGCACATCAGAAAAATGATAAGTTCGAGTTTCAAAATGCGGCGAAAACCATACAAACTCAGAGGTTCCAGCTCCCAAAGAGGGCCGGTATGGACTAGTGCATCCCTCATGCGTCAGACCTGGGTTCAATACCCGGGTGCAACACTAGGCGGACAGGCGGGCCCGTAAACACCTTGGGGTTCCAGCTCCCAAATGCTTCAGATATGATGTAAAATGAAAGGTTCAAACTGCAACACGTGCAGGCACTGTGCCGCTGAGAGTTCCTGTTTTCAAGAATATTGAATATACCGAAATTGATGGGAACCATTGGGAAATATAACTGTAGACGAAATGAGAGAGCTACCAACTGCCAACTAATAACAACAACCAACAACTTACAATCACCACCACCACAACAACAAACAAACACAAACACACCAACAGAACGCCTTAGGACTTAGGACCCTCACCTCCCTGTGTATTTGGCCTCTCAGTGAAGGTGTAGGTCGATTTCCAGGACTATTTGCAACATGTTCGGAGCTATTGGACAAAGGATTTTGCTCAGACGTTTGTTTCTAAGAGCTATTTCCAAGATATGAAGAACTATGTTAACTTGGATTTGTTCATTGTTTCACTTAAGAACCGTCAAAAAAACGGTGCGTGAATTCTACCATGTCTTTCACTCATGTGTGCAGCCAGGTTGACACATCTATCCGCTGCTGTATCGGATCGTAGGGCCCTTTGAGCCATACGCGCTGTGAAAAAGGCTTGTTTTGCTTTTTGGACTGCGCGATACCGTGTCAAATTCACATTGGTAGCGGAGCAGGTGACGATATGCATCTGGGTACGTTGCAGATCCAGTGACCGCTTTCTTGTCCTCGCTCTTTTTCATCCAACCGTCAGACTTTGAGCACTCGTTCTCCGAAATCGGCTGTACTCAGTAGTTTGAGACAGCCCTGCAATCAGTTGATCCATGTGGCACAACCCAGCATCCGCCGAAATGTCCATTGCCGGACTTAAGTTTCAGCCAGGAACATCCAATAGAATTGCCGGATCCCCACAAGAGACTAAATCGGGGTCATACATCTATTGGGGTGATGCCGCATCTTTTCATGATTGGAAGTTCCGAACTGAATTCAGAATCCGATTGCATGATCAAGCCCAATCGCAGCAGGATCCTGTTGATGGACCTGCGACTGCGACTGCGACTGCGACTGCTGCCACTGCATCCGCAGAACCTAGTTGAGAGCCGACTGAGGAAGAGTTTCCCTTTTCTGGCCAACATGTCCCATCGCCAAAATCTGCTGCATCCCCAAAGACAGCTGCTTCCCCGAAATCAGATTCGTCACAGGGTAAGCAGAAGACACTTTCAGATAGAAGCATCTTAGTTAACAAGATTGTAGAAGGTCTTAGAGGTGATGCTGTTCTGTTGGCTAGAGATTTGGGATTGGAAACCCTATCTCGCCCGAATCACCTTTTTCCCAGAGCCTTGGAGGAAGGGAAAGAATTTTTTCGTGCTGGTCAACGGATTGGTGGTCCTTTGTCACGGCAACCTTCAGAAAGCATGCTGTCATATGTGCAGCGCCGTCGTCGCTGGTGGAACCCAGCATGGCTGTTTCTGAATCTTTCCGGATTGAGCTGATGCTTGAACTTTCAGCAATTTCTTGACAGGAGATTTTCGTGGTGAAGGCTTGTAGAGCCGATGGTAGCTTCGAGAGCACTGCTCGTGCTTTGATTGACTATACTACAGTGGCATTCATCTTCGTGAAGGGTCCCGATCATGGACTGGTACAGGGTACTCAACTCAGGGAAAGTATGGGAAACCATCACAAAAGGGGAAACCCTCATCATCTCAATCTGGACAGGGATACAGTTTCAATAGATCTGCCCACATGGCTTACCCCGAAGGCGAAGATCAGGAGTGGGACGAATCCCAGAATTGGAATGAGGATGATGGCGATGAACCAGACAAGTATGACTATGAATGGTTTGATGGTGTTGATGAAACGGAAACAGTAGCTTTGAATGCAAGGATTGATTTCCCAGATGATGGTGATGATAGACAGATCGGTGACGCCGATCAGTTGCAACTTGCCGCACATGCCGCCTTTGGCAAAACCAAGGGGAAAGGCAAGGGTTTCAAAGGCAACCAGAAGGGCAAGCCCGTCCGCAGCCAGCTGACCCTTGAGCAAAGGCGTGATCGACTGTCTCAGTTGAAACAGAAGTCCAAATGTCTCCGATGTGGTGGAATTGGCCATTGGCCCAGAGACCCCCAATGTAAGTTTCCAGGAAACAAGGTGCAGGGAAACCCCAAAAGTGCCCCAAAGCCTGCTGCCCATTTTGCTGATTTCAGCGATTCATCGTCCGAAAACGGAGTGTACATATATGTTTCATCTCCGAAGATTGCGACAGCCAACATGGCCGTCCGAGCATCCGACCCAAAAGCCAAGCTAGGTTAGATCCAGTCAGGACTATCCTCGTTCATCAGGTGCTGCATCTTCTCAGCGTGGGGTTGCATCCGTGAGGACTCTCACACCGCAGGACCTTGATCCCAGACTGAGGCCTGAGAAGCATGGATATGTTTTCCCAATGGGTCAGTTCAAGGGGCTGACATTTTGGGATATCTTGCACACC